CTAAAAGAAGCAGCTCGCATCTTTGGCAGGAATTTATACGTGGGGGAGCGGCAGCCAATCAAAGACAGCAATTCGCAGACAACACTCTCTGACTTCAAATACTTCACCTACGCAGACGTGAGGGTTTAGGGTTTAGGGTTTAGGGTTTAGGGTTTAGGGTTTGGGGTTGGGGTTCCGCAGGGTGCTGGAGGCACGCACGTCGGAGGAGCAGCCCGCGTAGGGCCGGCGTGTGGATTGCTGCTGCTTCTGCCTATTCAGGGTTTAGGTTTTAGGGTTTAGGGTTTAGGGTTTAGGGTTTGTGTGTCTGCAGACGCTGCGCATGGTGGAGGCGTTGGGGCGTGCGCTCGATCAGGAGGTTGGGGTTCCTCTGTCGCATTATGATGAAGAGGGTTTAAACCCTGCCCCCAAACCCTTGAGGGTTTTGGGTCTCTGGTCCAGGACTAGGATGGACTGGAGATTGCTAGACTTCGCAGGCAAGGGTTTAGGGTTTAGGGTTTAGGGTTTAGGGTTTGGGTGGAGCGTAGCAGGCCTTCGTACTCAGGCTTTTAGCTTAAGGGGGCAGGGGCACGTGAAGTGGCAAATTTGGGGTTTAGGGTTTAGGGTTTAGGGTTTAGGGTTTGGGGTTTGTTATTCGCAGCGAATTACAGGGGTATTGTCACAGTTCCTCTCTACGATACGCTGGGAGAACCGTCGGTGAAGCATATCGTTAAACTAACCAGTAAACCCTAAACCCTTAACCAAACTCTAAACCCTAACCCCTAAACCAAATCCTAAACCCTAAACCATTAACCAAACCCTAAACCGTTTCCCCTAAACCCTGAGTTCTTGGAGCTGATGAGAGAAGCTGTAGGCATTGGCGAAGGGGCTGTTCGTACACTGGGTCGACGAGGGTTTGGGGTTTAGGGTTTAGGGTTTAGGGTTTGGGTTTTGTTGCAGAAATGGAGGTGTTGGCTGCGGAGGGCTCGAAGCTGGACGCCGCATTGCAGCTAAAGAAGGAGGGATTTCCTTTAAAGGCAGTTATTTCATTTGATGAAGTGAGATTCATATGCATGCGTTTTGGGGCTTGCGGTGCATGCATGCAGCTTGGGGCTTGGATTCTACTGTCTGCGGAGCTGCTGCTTCTTCTGATTGTTTGTTTATGATGACAAGATGAATTCGTGTGGCTTTGCGTGCTTTGTTTGAGGTGTACGTACGCACTCTGCAGCTGTAAATAAACAGTCTCCAGCGCTACTAGCTTGTATTTGTGTAATAGGCAACTTTCCTTCATTTTCCTCTTATTGAGGGTACCCTTGGGATCTAGGGTTTAGGGTTTAGGGTTTAGGGTTTGAGGTTTAGGGTTTTGCATTTCGCAGCCAACACAGGAGCAGATCGACGCGTTCCGCGAGGCAGGAGTGTCTCTGTACCACCAGGAAAAACTACGAAGAAGGGCAAGCAATGAAACCCTAAAACCCTAAACCCTAAAACCCTAAACCCTAAAACCCTAAACCCTAAACCACCACACATCACACATCGTGCCTAACTAACCCCAAGCCTTTTCTCAGAACTCGGTTTTGTTGGCAAGAGCCGAGCGTTCAGACATCGAAAGCCCCCAAACCCGTAGGATTTAGGGTTTAGGGTTTAGGGTTTAGGGTTTAGGGTTTAGGGTTTAGGGTTTGTCTCTTTGTCTTATCGCAGTACCTCACTATTCCTGACACCAAAAAACCGGAGGAACTCGAACCTTCTCTGGACGACATCTGCACAATTATATTTACCTCTGGTAATTATTATTTTAGCGAGCGATAAATAAATAATAAATAAATTAAATTAAAAACTCAAGTAGATAAATACAAATAGATTTATAAAATAAAGAAATAAAGAGCATAGGAGCTCAGTGTTGTGAATTCTCTGAAAATGTTTGCCGTTGTGCAAAGAGGGGTTTGTCATAATAACCTGAGAGGGTTTATTATTATTTTTAATGAGGGTTTATCTTCTTTTTGGAGAGAGTGTTTATCGTTTTAGTGAAGGGTTTGGGTTTATTAATGCGTGCTTGTTGAGGGTTTTATTGAGGGGTTAATTAATTAATTATTTAATTAATGAGGGTTTGCTGTCTTGCTAGAGGGTTTATTAATCGTGTGAGGGTTTATTAATTACTTTGAGGGTTTAGAGTTCTAACAAAAGGTTTATATATCATTGAGAGGGTATTCATCGTTTCTTTATAGGGTTTTTAAAGCCTTAGTGCTAGGGCTTATTATTATTGTATTAAAGGGTATATTGATTGTTTGATTGATGCTAGAGTTTATCTTTATAAGAAAGGGTTTATACATTAATGTTAATGGTGTTTAAGCCTATAAAAAGAGGGGTATATATTAACTGAAGAATGCTTTATTTATTAACTCTATAGTTTCATATTATATGCTGATTTATATACTATATATATATATTTATATATATTATGTATATTAAATAATATATATAATATGAATGCTTGTGTTTATGTTTGCTTAGGAACGACGGGTCTACCAAAGGGAGCTGTTCATACGAACAGCTCTTTATTATCATTTGTTGGGTCGTACATTGGTAGCAGCAACCGCATGCAAGTGTTTGTAGGAGACAGTACTTTATCTTATTTACCTCTAGCACATATATATCAAAGAGGTGTAGAGTTAGTTGTAACTTTGCTAGGTATTCGTGTAGCATATTATAGTGGTGATATGCTAAAGCTAGCTGAAGATGTACAGCTAGCTAAACCTTCTGTCTTTATTGCTGTTCCTCGTGTCTTTAATAAAATCTCTAGTAAGATCAATGCTGGTATTCGAAATAAACACCCTTTCTTGCAATGGTTAGCTGGAAAGGCACTCAACAACAAAGTTCAGAAATATAAACTCAATCCTAGGGTCGTCACGAGCTTTCTCCCCGATCTTGTAAGTTAATTACAGCACAAACAACATGAATATTATAATATATTATCAATAAACTAATTAAATAGTATTGTATTAAACTGCAGCAGGGTCAAACACCTTAACTTTTATTCTAGAAACCCTTAATCTCTTATTGTTAATTTCTCAAACCCTTATTATTCATATATTAAACCCTTAAACCCTTGTTATTAAACCCTTGTAAACCCTTGTTATTAAACCATTAAACTTGTATTACTTAAACCCTTGTTATTAAACACTTAAACCCTCGTTATTAAGCAGGAAAAACACTTCGACGTGCTTGAAAAGCTCTTGC